TTTTTTTTTTTTTTTTTTTTTTTTTTTTTTTTAGTGTATCTTCATTTCCTAGTTACACTTTGATTTTAAAAGGGCTCCGTTTGAGGAGAGCTCATGTTCTCTAGTCAGAGGGTCTGCTTTATCCTTTGTTCTGGGAGGACTCTTATTTTTCCCCTGGTTGACTTCATATTCTGCAAAATTTAGTCTACCAAACTCTGTTTATTAAACAATAATGTTTTCCCATTTTTATTCCTCATAATTATTATCTGCGATTCTGAACTTTTAAGCAACATGAATTGATATAAATGCAGCCAAAACTGAATTGGTTGTCTAGTTGACCACATGCCCGTAGCTGGAGCTGCGAGTCACATGTGTGGGGTCTGGGTGGGTCTTGCTTTTGCGGTGGAGCTGCTGCTGTCCCCCACATCTCCCAGTGTGTGCTTTTGTGCAGAGCCGCGGCAGCTCAGGAGTGTTCAAGCTCGGCAGTGTTCACGTCTGTCTCCTTCACAGGCAGGCAGTTATTGGTAATCACAAAAACTGAAAACAACCCACATGCCCCTTAGCTGGGGAAAGGATAGGCCAGCGGTGGGACGTCCAAACCCAAATGATGGGCTACTTACTACTCAATGTAGGAGAGGGACAAGCTGCTGAGACCCACTCAGCGTGGGGTGATCTTGGGCGTATTCTGACGAGTATAGGAAGCCAGACCTAGGTGGCTGCCAGCTTTGTGGCTCTGTTCATATGACAGTCTGGCAGAGGCAAAACGAGAGGGATGGACAGCAGATCAGCAGTGGCCTGCGTGTTGAGGGAAGGCCGCACTGGTGCTTGGAGGGGATGAACTGTCTACATAGGCTTGTCCACACTCCCAGGACTACACTGAAAAGGATGGATTTTACTGTGTATAAGTTGTACCTTAAGTTTTAAAAATGAAAAAGTAAAGTCATTGCCGTAGTAAGAATACAGTTCAGTCCTTTTTATTGCCAGTCAGGCACCAGTCACAGGCTTTCATAGCTGGCACAGAACTTGTAGATCAGGTTGTCTCCTCCCACAATTTGAAACTAAGGCCCAGAGAAGTCAGGGACAGGACCAGGCTGTGACTCAAGTCTATGCTGCCACCACCTCCTCTGCCTTGCTCACTTTTAGCCAAACTCGTCCAGACGGGAATGTGTTCCTTTGAGAGATTTCAGCTGTGAAAACCTTGGAAGGTGGGTGATGTACTAATCATTGCTATTTCTGTTTTATAGGCTTGGACTTAAGGACCAGCAGGAGAGAGAAATCGTTCACGTTCTCATGGATTGCTGCCTTCAGGAGAAAACCTACAATCCTTTCTATGCGTTCTTGGCTACCAAACTTTGTGAATATGAAAGGAGATTTCAGGTAACTTAGTGAGGCGGCCACCAGAACATTCTGTGAACATTCAGTTCAACACACCTAAAAATGAGTCCACCGTGGCCCCTGTCACGTGGTCCACCCTTCACTGGGAGACGAGATACAACCAGAGGGGGTGACGAGGGTCCAGAGCGTCCTCGTGTTGCCTTTTCCTGTCACAGGTGCAGGTGTGTGGCCGGGCTGCCTGGAGCCCCTCTGGTTCCATAACACACCAGTCTCTTCTCATGTAACTTGTCAGCAGTGCCCTTTCTGCAAAGTGTGAACGTTGACATCGCTGATTTGAGTAAGAAAATGTCAGCAGAGAGAGGTTACTGTGGAGTGTTCTAAACTGCTGTCTAGAGAAAAGGACAGTGTAGCTGCTCCTGAATGTCATGATTTTTAGAATATCACAAGTCAGTGAACGAGAAAGACTAGCTTTAGGTTACAGTCTCAGTGATTTAGTCGAATGGTTTGTTGCATTTTAACTTTTCATCGTTTTGACTGTCACATCAGATGACTTTCCAGTTCAGCGTGTGGGACAAGTACCGGGACTTAGAAAACCTGCCTGCTGCTCAGCTCTCTAATTTGGTGCACCTGGTGGCCCACTTGTTGAAGACCAAGTCACTTCCACTTTCCATCTTAAAGGTTTGTGTAATGTTCGAAATTGCTTAAAGCAGTGAAAATGATAGTGTAATTGCTTATACTTGATATTTTAAAACAGTGCATTCCCTCAGATTATGATTTACCGGAAAGGAGTCTTCATTATCCTGGCCATCACAGAAAACAGCCAGTTTAACGTTCAGTGTAAACTTATGTAGTAAATCAAGGCACAGTTGGGATTTTTTTGCTAATCTAAGTGAATCTGTTTTGGGGTCTGAGGTTAATGTGCTGGTCCTGATTATAAAATCCTGAGTCAGTCATTTAAATTGGGAGATGGCTGCAGTGAAGCGGGGACTGATCTCCTTCCAGAGGCTGGGAGCTGGCTTTTCACGTTTGCTCATTGGATGTAAGATGTCCTAAAGCTGTGGGCTCTCCTCTCCCGCACCATGTTTTGGGTCTTACATGTCACCTCAGAGCTGTTGAAATGCAGGTGCCCAGGTGTGTGGACTATGAAACGTAGACATAGGAGCTGGGATTCGAGGTGGACCAGTAAGGTTCGGAACATGGGCCCACCAGGACCTGGTGTCTTAAAAACTCTTCAACTTCTGGAGGTAATTCAGGGCCACCACATTCTGGGCCCTGTTGAAGCTTCCCTGGCTCTCAGGACGGCCTGTGGCTCCAGTTCCGTGTTTTAATATTGGTGAGTCCAGTTGTGCTGTTCCTCAGAGCACCTGCTCGAGATGACCTGGCATCTCTTAGTGTGTGCTGTGGGGTTTGGACACTGTGCTAGAAGCGAGGAGGTACCGTATGCTGGGGACTGGGGTACTCAGGACTCGGAAGGTGCCTTGCCTTCTCATCGCCCTAAATCTTGCCTTTCGCGCTCTCAAGCGTTGAGCTCAGTGTGGAACAGATGAAAAAAAAGGGTGCAGGAAGCTCACTCGCAGGTTGCAGAACTTAAGGGATGTTCTTGAAGGTGCCCTGCAGCTCGCAGCCCTACCCGTCGCTCTTCCCAGGGGGCCGCTCTGTGGTTTGGCATTTCTCCTTACTCCAGCGTGCTTCTGTAGTCTCTGTGCCTGTGCACAAACAGCCAGCACGGAACGCTGTTCTGCGCACTTTTACCTCTCTGCAAATAGTGTCTACTGTCACCTCACTCAGTATCCTCCTCCAGTTTCATCCGTGGCGTTGTCCGTGATTGTCTTCTCCACTTTTATTACTTCTGAGTAGTATTCCACTGTACGGGAGTACTTCAAAAACTTCATGAAAAATAGACTTAAAAGATAATACGAATCTTTCCATGAACTTTTTGAAGACCCTTTGTATAAGCGTACTTCAGTTTATTTATTAATTTGTTTATCTTACTGATAGAAGCTTAAATTGTTTCTGACTTTTTGATTGTCGTCTAGAAGATATATATATATATTAATTAGTTTCTCCTAAATTCTTTGTCTATATATAGTTTTAATTAGGGGACAGTTACTTTAGGGGATGAAGATAATACAGTCATGTGCCACATAGTGACATTTTGATCTACGAAGGTGGTCTCATAAGATTATAATCCCGTATTTTACTGTACCTTTTCTGTGTTTAGATATGTTTAAATACACAAATACTGACCATCGTGTTACAGTTCAGTACAGTAATATGCTGTACAGGTTTGCAGCCTGGATGTGTAGTAGCCTGTGCCATCTAAGTTTGTGCATAAGTGCACCCTGTGATGCTCGCACAATGACACAATCACCTAACAACGTATTTCTCAAAACCTATCCCCTCTGTTACGTGATGCATGTCTGTATATGTTTCTATTCTAGAATTGGAATTCTTGATTCATAAGGTATACGCCCCCATAAACTTTACTTACCACTGCCAAGTTGCTCTCAACAGTGGTCGTACCAGTTTACGCCCCTGCCAGCAGTATGTAAGAATTCTAGTGGCTCCACATCTTTGCCAACAGCATTTATTTTTTAAAACTGGAAATAGCCTCTTAAATCAGGAGTGGGTTGGGGGGTGGAGAGAGATTCATTTTTACTCTAACTATATTTACAAATCATTGAAAAAGTTGGCTAAATCAACATAATTTTATTTTTCTCTGTATCCTGACTCTTAGGTAGTTGAATTCAGTGAATTGGACAAACCCAGAGTCCACTTTTTACGAAAAGTGTTAAATATGCTGTTAATGGAAACAGAAGTTGAAGATCTTGGTTTAATTTTTGCAAGGTATGTTCCCAGCTTGCTGTGGGGAGACTTGGAACAGAGACGCAGAGATTGTTTCCACTTAACAGTGATTTATAAACGCAAGGTTGTTGCAGTCACTGCATGTGTAACCTAGTCGTTTCTGCTTTAATTTTAAGCTAATATTTTTAGATTTAGGGAACATAAAACTTGCCTGATAACAAACTAACAATGATTTATAACAAATAGAATATGTTAAGAATTTTTTAATTGAGAATTCTGTTTTAAAAAGAAACTGGGTTATGTCTCATCAGTTGACATACCTAGAATCAAGATCCAGGAGAGACTAGCACATCCATGATGCATGTTTATGTGATTCCTTTCCAGAGTATCTGAAAACCCTAAGTTGGGGATGTTGCGGGAAGGTTTGAAGCTTTTCATCAGCCACTTCTTACTAAAGAGCGCCCAGGCCCACAAGAGAGCTGATGAGGCCAACATTCTGCGAGAGAGAGCCAACCTTGCTACAAGATCTCTGCAGGGAAAAGCTTCCCTGAGAATGTAGTCGGGGAAATGTCCTTTGTAAACCCAGAGGCCTATTCTGTTGTCTACGTGGAAAAGCTTGGTGAAGCTATATCATGGCCAGTTGTGTTTAAAATATTATATTTTGAGATAATTTTTTGGTCCAAGGTTATATTGTAGTTGTGTTTTAAACTATTTTCAAATAACTTTACATGTATGGGGGGGAGGGGCAGACACACCGGACAGAGTGTTCTCTAGTGGGGCTGCTGTGTGTGATTGTCTTAATTTTTTTCATAGATAATAGGCCACTAGAGGGTGCAGTTACAAAGAAATTGATGTCTTTTTATCTTTTTTTTATTTTGGTTAAAAGTTCAAAAATCATTAGTTAGACATGCTGCTTGGTGTTTACTTGGCTGCTCTGAAGTGCGGAGTGCGGCAGAGCTGAGGGGAAGCGGCCCTGTGAGTGTCCTCTACACACCGTGCAGTGGGACAGGTGTTTTTCCTCGCCACTCAGCTCACATTTCAGCAGTGAAGGAGATCCTTTACCATTTTTATATCTCCTACTCTTCAATTCCAAGTTGTAAATGCACTTGCGTAAACAGCTCTGAATTCACCAAATAGATGCTGGACACTAATGGGTGCTGCTTGCTTGCTGGGTTCTAGGAGATGTAAACGTGAGTGAAACATAATTACTACCTGCGACGGATTAACATTTACCTAGTGAGAGACAAACACACCCCGCTTTCTGAGTGCAGAGAACTGATGGATCCTGTGAGGAGACAGAAGTGCCCTTGATACTCGGCATCTCCACACATGCACCAATGTTTGTTGTTCTTCCAGCCCTTAAAATGTGCCTCTCTCTCTCAAGTGCTACAGACTCGGTTTAAATCTCACCTTCAGTGGTTGAAAGAGTTACTGAGATGTGAGTATACAACAGCCCTTTAGACATTAAGTTGCAGAAACCCGTCTGCGGCAGAGCACTGTCCACTTTACAATGGCCACTTCGGGCTCAGAGGCACAGGCTGGTGATGTCACTGCTGTGCAGAACACTCTCTTGTACTTTCGATCTCAACATGGCCCTGTAGGAGCTTGTGCTTAGAAATCACTGTGTGAAGTCATACTTGTTCGGTCCTGTCCCTCAGCTAATCGTTTAAACTTTGAAACGTGCAAGCAACATGAAAAACTGCTAGGGCTAAGAATAACCACAGAAACAGCACAGAGGCTGTCTGGCCTTTCACATGCATGTTAGCCCTACCTTCAGAAACAAGCTCATGCAACCTGAGGCCAAATTAAAACGCTGTGTCTTCTAGCAGGTTCTGAACTTAGACAACACAGCAGCAGCAGGTATTAAGAGAGGAATGCAAGAAGGGAAGCCTTCACTTTTATATTAAGGGCTTTTAACAAAAAATGTCTTTGCTGGGTGGTGATTAGTGCACAGCAGAGCAGGTCCACAGTGAGATAAGGAGCTTGAGCCAGGATATCAGTGAACACTGCTTCCTTCCTCGAGAAAGTCTTTCTACGGAGGAAAAAATGTCAGTTGGGCTAAACAGTGTGCTTAATGACCTAGTCCGTTTACATTCTGATGCGAGCTGATCTTGCAGACCAAGCAGTTCACAGACAGGCAGCCAGTGTATGGACCACGTTTGAGTAGCACAAGTGTAACTGATGTTAATGAGAATTAATTGTGTGTGCAGCTGCTAAGATTAGGAAAAGATACCAGTGCAGTGGTGCCATCTAACGTCACTATGTCATGTGTACAGTAAACCTCGTTTGAAGTATAGATGAGTTCAAGCTGGTTTTTCTGCAAAAGATAAATTTCTGTAAACCCATTTTTATATCTTTTATTATTAAAACAATAAAAATGTCTTTCTCCTTTGCCATGGAATGAAAATATTTTTGACTTAATTCATTACATTTTGCATTTACTGTGTGGTAGGTTGCCCATAAAGCTGTACTTTTTTTTTTTTATTATTCCTTTTTGTCTTTTTTTACTGACCAGTAACGGGATCGCAACCCTCGGTGTCGCGCCCGCACTGCGCTCAGCCAGTGAGCGGGAACCGGTCTCCACATGGGACCCGACCCCTCGGCGGGAGCCCCGCCACACTCCCAAACGGCGCACTCTCCAGTGCGCCACCAGGCTGGCCCGAAGCTGCACTTTTTAACAAAATATGGGTTATCAACTAATAGTAATTATACATTAGTATAAATTGTAAATACATCCTGACCTAAAGGTACTGTGAATTCAGACTTGCTTTTAAATATATAGTTTGTAAAAATTTATTACAGTAATATCTGTATTTGAAAAATATTGCAAGATGCTTAGGCAATGTTGGTGTATATCTGAGCTGTGGACTTCCTGCAGTGCAGGTTGAAAGCTGCTAATGTATAGAATTACCAAAAAAAAAAAAAAAGCGGTCTTAGGGGATTTCATCTTTAAGATAGAGGCATAAAGAACAAACTTGTATTAAAATGTGTAAATAAAATCTGATTTTTCTATTTTGTTGAGTGCCAGTGAACGTTTATTTTGTCGACATACTACGGGCTGCACCTTATCTTTTCATTTTTAGGAAGTCTGCTTAGCCATATGGTTTAGGAAAAAATGTGTCCTCTCCGTCCACCCCCACCCCCAGAGGGAGAGAGAAAGCAAATGGGGCAAAATGTTTGCTGTTGGAGAATTTGGGTGAAGTTTATACAGATGAAAGATATTCTTGTAACTTTTTTGTAAGCTTAAAATTATTTCAAAATAGTTTTTTAAAGGCATTCATAATTCAGGACTTATTCTTCGTAAAATAGGTGTAAAATATCCCAATGTTCTTTCATAAAAATAATTAAGCAGACTAATTCAAATCACCTTTGCCTCCTTTGTAAAAAGTAGATGAGGCCTTACTGTGAAATGATGGTAAGGGTGGCCTTAACTTTGAGATGAGTTTGGTTCCCTTCAGGTGGCAGCCCCGGCTCCCTGCCACCTGCACCTGGGTTGGCAGGTGAGAGAAGGAGGAAGATCCTATCACTGTGCTTAGGAGCCTTGGTATCAAGAATGGTGCTAATGGGCATCATGTCAGGGCACCCAAATGACCCCAGTGCTCATGAGGTGTGAAGGCCATTCACCACCCTGCACCCCGTAAGGGGTTGAATAGAATTTGAGCTGCATGTGTGGGCTGAGAGGTACCAGCACCCTTCCCACCTTTGGCATGTTCCCTAGGACTCAGGGTCAGATGCGGCAATTCTCTGATCAGTGCGTAGGCCCACATTTCTTTTTCTGAACTGCTTGGGAGTTGCATCCAGTCCCTTCATCCCTACATGGCTTCTGTGTGTGTTTCCTAAGAAGAACCTTCACTTCCATAACCACAGTAGAGTTATCAAAGGAAAATAACATTGATAGAATACTAACAGAATGGCCCTTAGTTTGGGCTTTCCTGCTGTTTCCTGTTACCTGGGTTATGCCCTCCCGATCATGCCCTCGGGGCACGCGATGGTGGCTCGTCCCATCCTTATTGCTGTGCAGGAGAAGTAATGTGTGGAGTTTTGTATGTGATGATTATTTTGAATTCTTTGTCAGGCAGTTTGTAAACCCTCGTTTTATTGGGGCCAACCACTGGAGCTTTATTTTGTTCCTTTGGTGGTGTCATGTTTCCTCAATTCATGTTCCTACAAGTCCTGCGTTGCTGACTTCACATTCAAAGAAGCAGTCACCTCCCCCACTATTTGGAGAGAAAGACCTTCACCAGTCAGCCCTGCTAGAGATTCCCGAGGGTCTCAGACCTTTTCTGTGGATGTGCCCACTCCATTCCTCTTGTCCCTCTTAGGGGGAGTCTTAGGATTGTGTGCATTCCCTTCATCCTGTCGAGCCAGGCTGGGTCTGAACGCCTCCCATTTTCCATTAGGTAGTTCCCTGAAGTGTTCAGATTTGGGCGCCTTTTCCCAGTCCAGCAGAGTGGAGCTGGCTGCTAAGATCTGCACCAGCTGTTGAGATCTGTGTACTGTCTGTGGGGGTGCTGCGAGCACACATCAGCTGGGTGGGGAGCCTGCAGGTGAGTCGTGCCATGGAATTCATGGAAGGCTTCTTGTGGAGTCTGCCGGCTGATTAGCAGAATCTGCAGCTGGCTGTGAAGAACCGGATGTTGTTGCTGTGTACTCCCTCCTTCCTACTCCCTCCTGCTGGAAGTCCCCATCACGGGTTCTGGGTGAGACAGGAGTGGGCCTCCTGAGCAGTGTCCCGCAGTGCTTGGAGAAACTGGTGTTCACTTGGCTCTGACCCATGGGGGAAATCACAGACCAAAGGGCATCTTTGGAGGAGGGGTGGTGTAGGTAAAGTAAAACTGTTCTTCTTACCCCCTAATGTGTCCACTCTGGGACTCTTTGCTCCCCTGGGGTGCTGGAACCTCTCAGCTTGATTCTGGGCTTCCCCAACGATACTCTTGTCCATGGGTAGTTGGTAGAATCAATGTTTCTGTGGGGGGAATGAGGGCTGGAACCTATTCTGCTGTCTTACTAACCTCTTCTTATAATTACTTTTATAATAAAATCATCCAAGATTTAGCCAGTGGGAGATCCTTCAAGTTGGCTCCTCCAGCCTTTGACGTGTCTCCAACACTGTTCGGCATTTTCTTCTTTTCTAGCACTAGATATTCTAGCCTTACCCTGTACTTTCTCTGTCCTGCCCTGGAAGTAGCCATTTCTCCAAAGAGCTTTCTCCCCTTTTAATCAGGAATGGCATTTAGAAGCCAAGAAATGGACTTTGGGTGTGCAGGTTGTTTCTGGGGCACCATCGATTCTGGGCCCCTTCAGTGGACAGAGCTAGGAAAGAGATTGTGCGTGTAGGTCATGTATTATACACGCACGTACATACATGCATGTGTGTGTGTCTATATATAAAAACGGTTCCTACTGATAACTTCAATCCCGGTCCAACCCACTGGGCCGTTGCTGGCCTTTCTCTCCACGTGTGTATCTTCCTTTTCAACTATGACAAATCTGTTGCCCAGCATGATCGACTCATTTACTTACTTGCTCAGTCCTATAATACACAGAAAGTAGTTTTAGAATTGCCAGCCACACAGCTGTGAGAAACAAGCATGACTCGTTAAGATGAGTTTGTAATTATTTTGTGTTTGCTCTGAGATGGAGAGAAAGGGCAGACTGTCCAAAGTTGGGTTGGTTCCCCTTTGTCTGAAATGCAGATGGCTTCATTTGTTTCTGTTTGTGTTTTATTTTGGGTCCTTCCTCCATCTTTCTGACTTACAAATTGTAAATTATTCTTAACAGACCATTACATTCATGAAGTTTTACTGTGTGCTATTTGTGAAAGTTTTGTTCCTTCTGGCACAATCCAGAACAACTAAGCTTTGAAATTCCAAATATTTCTGTTGAGCGGTAAACCAGATGCGGGCCTCTGTTGTGTCACAGGCTGGGCAGTGTGGCCACATGGCTTCTTATGGCTTTAATTACAGGTGCAGTAGCAACCGGAGGCTTGTGGGCAGGTGCCGCTGATCCAGGCTGCTGGTGGTGACTTTCTCTCAGAAGTGGCATTTCACAGGGCCCTGCACTTCAGTCCATTTCCAAGGGGTGTTGCTGAAATCAAATGAGGTGAAAAGGCTTTGAAAACCTCCATCCTACAGAATTAAAGTGGTTGTTAGGGCATGTGTCCCAGTGTCCTCTAGTGAGCGTCCTGAGGGATCACGCTGGACACCAGGCTGTCCACCGCAGCTACGATCCTGGCTGCTGCCCACATCCCCCCTCCGCGCCCTCCACAAGGCTGGCTGCAGCGCTGGGCCGGGTCACTGGGCTGCAGGTGCTAAGTGGTAGGTGCTGGGCCGGGTCGCTGGGTGGGGGCACTGTGCAGGGGCGCTTGGCCACAGGCACTAAGTGGTAGGTGCTGGGCTGGGTCGCTGGGTGGGGGGCACTGTGCAGGGGCGCTTGGCCACAGGCACTAAGTGGTAGGTGCTGAGCCGGGTCACTGGGCAGGGACGCTGGGCTGCAGGCGCTAAGTGGTAGGTGCTGGGCTGGGTCGCTGCGCAGGGGGCGCTGGGCCAGGGCACTCAGGCCGTAGAGTTTCCTGCCTGATGTGGGGTCCCCTGGGGGGTCTGGCTCATTTTCTTAGCTTCCTTCTTCCTCTGGTTGTCCCAATTTTACTGTCAAGTCCTATTGAGACAAAGGGAATCAAAGTGAAAGATTTGTCACCACAGGATTGCTTTAGGGG